GGGCGTAACTTTCATTGCATTGGAAAAAGGCTGGTCAAACTGATTTGTAAATTAAAGGAAGATTGCCTTGGATTTGTGATTGCTGGATTATGAGAAGACTTCGTCTGACAGTCTTGCGATCCTGATGAATCTATGCAGTGCAGAAATCCGCCGAACAAGAAACCATAATTTATCAAATATTCACCAAAACATCAAACCAGGACTTGTGGCTATCTGAAATACGAACTTGCCTCTTAAACATAACCTTGCGATCTTAATGAGGCTTATCATGCCTTGGCTTGGGAAAATTCGGTGTATGAAGAGGCAGCGAATGCCGTCACAGCTGATTCTTTATGTTGATAGACTAGCATATGGTCATGTAATACTGACGCTGGTTCCATAATTGTGAGTACATTTGCTCTGTGCACATTCAATATTCACAAGTCAGGTAACAGTTTAGAGGACAAACCAGACTTCATGTTAGTCAAGACCCCTCCGCCTACTCGGTAGCCTTTCCTACTCCCTCTTCCTCTCCAAAAGCCAGAGAGTTCTTGCCAAAATTGCCTTCACTAGTTTCTCCCCTGCTGGATGTTGTTATTTGTTAAATTCAATCCACTCCCTAATCCTCTGCTAAGCCGTAATTCTTTCAGAAAGTCTTCGCCATGTTGCCAGTGGCCGAGCAAAAGAGTCGTCTAAATATCTGACCAATAACTATTCGTGTTCATCCTATTTCGTTTAAGGTGATGAGGAACTAGTAGTTGAATTTTCCCACAATCATATGAGTAGAGCTGACGTTTCAACTGAATTTCACACAGCCTTGCATTCCCAAAATGTGTTGTCATCCCGGCTCGAGTGGACTGCAGTTTCGACCTCGCCTCACCAAATTACCAGCACCCTCAGTGGGATTCGATACCGGGCCGAGTGTATCCTGACGAAGTTACCAGTTCATCCCATGGCCACAGGTGCTCATGTGAAACCGACAGACCAATTCAAAGTTTTGACGGCCCCGACGTAAGTGGGCTCAAATATGTGGATCCAGTTCAGATCAGATCGTTTGGAAGCATGAGTTTAGGTGACACTTAAAATTGCCCATTTTCACCCAAACAACGGAGAGGGAATTAATTAACGGCTCATATGGCCGCATCAGATGCAACGCCCCGCACTAATGAATATGTTGAAAATGTGCAAAAATTCAGTTGTTTGATGTCATAGATACAAAGCTCTAATTGGATTGCATCGCAGACTCTCATTTGCAGCAGTACAGGTAAAATAAGGACTCTGAATGTGTACAGAGCTAGACATTTGAGAACTAGGAACTTAGCGTAGACATATACTTTATCCATCCATCCAGTCAGCATTCGCCTGGATTCTGGTAGGACGGGTGGTAACAAATCAAAAATAAGAAGCGAAGATTTATATAATTGCGAATTAAAAGCTTACAAATGTGAAGTCACTGACTACTTTTGTGGTGCCTACTCTATAGGCGCTTTGATATTGAGACGAAGAGGCCAAATGATATCTGAGTTATGGCTTTAGTGACGGGGACAGGTTGGCTGGCTTTATCAATTTTTTAATAGCCTCATAGTTGCGACCTTCCAAGCTGGACAGCAGCCCAAGAAGAGCAGAGTCACTGGTTGTGATGAAGACCCCAGATTGACGCATCTGCTCAATGGCCAGTGTGCTAGATGGCAGAAACAAAGAAAGAGATAGAGAATATTCAAATCTGCCCATAGATTTTGTCGAGGCCATCGTGTATTGTTACTAAGAGAAAAGGGAATATAATCCTTTACTTGGGTGTACTATACGACAAATAGTTCTTTAAGTGTTTCATAGGCTTCCCGAAGTTATGAGCCTGAACACATTATGATATAATGGCAAATTTCGACTTTATTAATCTCTTTAGTATTCCTACTCATTTGGTATAGAGAAATGTCGTCAATCTTAATGGTAAATACCAGCTTACTATGAAGCCATTAAATTTGGGGAACCTTACTTGCTTTGCATATTGTACATTCAAGACTAACTAGGCCTCTTTAGCATCACATATTTGATGGGATTCCTAGTGAGATCTACCTTCAAATCTCTTCTTCATACACTTTCATGCAAAATGAAAATAAGTAAAATAGTAGGCTTATATAGCAAGTACAATGTCGCCTCATCAGCAATCCCAACGCAGAATGTAATATGGGTTTAAAATTCACATCTGATCGTGACTCCAAGATCACTAGTGGCAGTCTGGAGCAGCGGTTAACATGCCAAGAATTTAAGTTGTACCATCCTAGCCCCGAGTTAGAGTCCCGCTAGAGGTGCTGATGAGACCTGGGGAAAGTTGAAACAGCAGTCAGCTCATAGCTGTATGAGAATACCTTTTGAGAAGCAAGGATATGCGAATTTCAGTGGATGCTTCAGCTCTATTCATACACTTGTGGTAAAATTCAACTAATGAGATGTATTCACCGCACTGTCTCGGTTCGACTCCCGCTGACGGTGTTGATAAGACCGATGCCAGGTCTAAACTGCAGTTCACTTCTGTCTGGATT